ATATATGGGTGCAGAGATTTTGTATTGCTTTTTTCTCATTAGATTTAAGCTTTTGAAATGTGTCCATTAGATTTAAGTTATCCATGCAGAACATGGTTTTGTATACAGCAGGAATTTTCTCTCTTTTCTCCTATGGTCTGTCAATAATTCCAGTACTGTTCAAGGGAAGATGCTGGTTTGCTTCACTGATTTACAATTGCTGTTATCAAATAGTTATTTCTCATACAAACCATTCTCTTCTATTCCTGTGTCAATGCTGTGCTGCCCCCATTACCACAGTAAGTTCTGAGGTGTGGGTTTTAGACTTAACACCTAGACACTCCAATTCCTGAAGTCATCTGCCTGTCACCTGCTGGGGTTAAAGTTCAGCCTCAGCTCTTCTGCACATTGTGTCCCTCAGCAGCATTCTTCTGCAACATGCAGCAGAGCCCTTTGTCAGCCAGCCCTGCTTTGCAGTATATTAAGTGCTCTGTAAAAATTTTGTTTCAAGAACTGGCACACAATACAGTTAGCTCAAGAATTAGAGGGCTAATTATAAATCCATACTATAAGCCTTCAACAGTGTAGTGGTAGCAGGTCTTTTATTGCTCTGGTTTTGGTTATGAGCAGACATAATAATCATTTGTTTCCCCACTTAAATTGTCAATTAATCTAGAAGATAAAAAATTGAGAAAGATGGCCAACAAAACTCTGCCTTTATTTCTGATAAAGCTGATATTGGGGCAGGTGGCTTATCTCTGCAGGCAGGCTGGCTTGTGAATAGTACACTTGAAATCCAGGTAGTCAGACTTACATCTCAGCAGCTGTGCTGGCCTCGTGCAGGCCACTGTCATAAGCACTCACTTCCCTTAAAGAGACAAAGAGGGAAAGAAGATACTTACTTTCTGTGGGAGGGCTAAGTCCTGAGAGGAGGAAGGGTAGGGTTGGCAATCTCAGTTTCTTCTTTTAAGTCTATCCCACTATGGAGGTGAGGGTGAGTTACAGCAAGAGGTAAGGCATGTTAGCATTAATGTGTCCCCCTATGTGGAAGGAAATAGCCACAAGGTAAGCACAGGTTTTCCCTAAGCCTTTAAGATTTTATTTTTTCTTGTTTTTTTTTTTTTTAACCCGGGATTGAACTCAGGACCTTGAGCTTGCTAGACAAGCGATTAAGCCACAGAACTATCTCTGGGGCTTCCTAAGCTTTTGTACAAGATCCTCCCCTACTTTAGTCTGCTGGATTGATGGAATACTGGTCACATAGTTTAAGTCAGAATATGGCAGTGGCAGGCCAAGGTTTCAGATAATTTCACTATAGTGCCATTGTTAGTTTTATTTCTTGGACTCTCTGGGCTCATCCCCTTCCTTGAATAAGTCATATTCTTTCCCATTTTCTGGCATTCACACATACCTGAAGTACCATTCCTTCTCACCACCACCACCATCTTGTTTTTTTATGTCTTACTCCCATCATTCCTTTTGGTCTCACATCCTCTGAGCTTTACCTTGGGAACAGATGTGAGTTATGTACCTATCTAACTTCACAACACCGTGCTAACCAAGCAAGATGCTTCTTCTTTGTTTTAATTTCTGCTTAGTGTTTGTCTTTTCCATGATAATACAAGTTGCATGAAGAAAACGACTATCTGTCTTCCCTAATTTTTTTGTTTTTGTCCCCAACATGGTCTCAGGACACTGTAAGACCTTGGTGAATATATGTTCAGTGAATTCATAAAGGGACATTACTGGCAAACTTATTAACTTACTATTTTAAGATTATTGATATAGGTTTATGCCTTTGAATTGATTTTTTTATTGTTTACAAACACAAATATATAGGAAAAATGACTTTTAGAAAAACATTCCTACTTATGACATAAAATAACTTTGAATTTTCATTTTGAAAATACTAGTCAGGTCTACTTTTTATACTTAAGAGAAAGCAAAAACATAGACTACAAAAACAATCTGGTCTCAACACATTTGATCAGTTCTTGTATGAAGAAGGAAATAATTATGTTTGTGTGAAACAGCAGTAATGATGGATATGTTGAGAGCTTTATAAATGTTTTCTCTTTTATTATCTCATATACATAATTTTTGGATTTTTTCTTGTTTTTTTTCACCCGGGATTGAACTCAGGATCTTGAGCTTGCCAGGCAAATGCTTAAGCCACAGAACTATCTCTGGGGCTTCCTAAGCCTTTGTACAAGGTCCTACCCCACTTTAGTCAGCTGGATTGATGGAGTATTGGTCACATAGTTTAAGTCAGTATGGAAGTGACAGGCCAATATATGAAGTACATTTTGTTTTTTAAATGTTCTAAGATTTTCACAGTTTTATAGAATTGTGATTTAGGAGGTTAGTAAAATTTGTTAGTTTAGGAAGGTAAGAAGCACAGCTAATTCTTTTAAAATACTTATTTAAACTGTCATATTTGTTTGAACATATCTGAGTGAAAATTAAGTCTGGCTACCCAACAATGGATGCTGGGATTACAATCACAGATTGAATTTTCTGGTTTACTCATTTAATAAACGAGCACAACATTCTGAAGGGACTCACCAAGATTTAAAAAGGACAAACATGTGCCCATACTCACCAGGACTCCAGCAGGCAATTTAGTGACTTAACAAGACCTTGCTTCAGAAAAAATGTCTGGGGATGTAGGTCAATGTGAAGGCTCTGGGGTTCAGTCCCTAGTACTGGAAAAAAAATCAATGATAAATTAAGCAAATTAAGCTTTAAAGAAAACATTGGGCTAACTAAAGTACAGAAAATTCACCCAAAATTGTAAATGTTAGAAGTTGTCACCCTTAAGTCTGGGGTGAAGAGCTGTATATAGTTTATAAGTAAACATCATTTTGCACATGCCTTTCAGAGGCATTTAAGCTGATTGATAATTCAGTGAGTTACAGATGAGTTTCACAAATGTGTACAAGTGGAGCAAAACAGGTTGTCAAATCTAAATATCAGACAAAGGAAGCCCTACATACACACAGAACTTTAAGACTTAAGTGCTAAATTATGTATTTCAAGTAACAGTGCTACCTTGACCCCTATGACATCAAAAATGCTAAGTACCGTATCTGGCTTCTCTTTACTCTGTGTTTTCTAGGCCAGTCATGGCCTAGAATTTTAATTGAGAATTCTAAAACTTGCTTGATGTTTTCTTCTAGTAAAATAGTAAAGTAAGAAAGGCCCGATTTTCTTTTGCTTTGCTCCTGTCCATACAAAATGCTTACCTTCATGGAGACAGAAATGCTCTACAATCTGCACTCTCCATTGTGGTACCTGTGAGCCACGTGAGGCTACTGACCATTCAAAATGCACTGGGCCCGGGGAGATGGCTCAGTGGAATAAGCGCTTCCCTGGCAAGCGCGAGGGCCTGAGTTCAATGCCTGGTTCCGCCAAAATAAATAAATAAATAAATAAATAAATAAATAAATAAATGCACCCAGTACAACTGAGGAGCGGAATTTAAATATGAGCAAATCTAACTCATCCACATATAAGCAGTGCTGGTTCAGCCTGATGGTGCAGAAGGGCACAAATCACCACTTCCATGACCACGACACTGTCACTCGTCATGGCTACCTTTCCACTGAGACCTCACCTTGCGTTCTGCTCCAGTGAGAGCTTACTGTTGGCTTTTCACCATGACTGCCTGTCCTCTTGCTTTTCTGTCTTTAAATTTCATGGTCATGGTGGCTGTTATGTTGGACAGCACAACATTTCTTTCCACTTTTAGATTTAATATAGACATAAATTTGGAGAAATTAAGTTTAATTTCTGTGAATTCATTTTTTTCACTTCATATTAGCCCATATTTGAAGTACATAATGATTACATTCCTTGCGTGGAGTAGGTACAGGTCCCTTACACATCTTAATCCCCTTTTTATCCTCTGTTCCTCCCCTCCCTGTGGATTCACTTGACATATTTCTTAGACATTTATTGAGCACCTCGTGAGTTACTGTGCTCAGTGTCAGAAATGCTTCTTGTGGATTTCCTGAAGCAGATTTTAGGGGAAAGCAGGGACCCATTACATGTGTCATCCCACCCACCTGGGGAAATGGGTTTTGTTGTTTCTTCAGGACCTAACTTCCTTTCTCCCTGAGCTCCTGGGCCCACTATGGAGAGGCCAGTGTCTGCTTGGCTGAGGGGGTGAAAGAGAACTCCTCTGACTATGAGTTCTGGCACGCCAGGTTTGTATCTGCTGGGAGGAAGGGACACCTATCTGAAATGCTCTCAGATGCACAGATTAACAGTGTGACCCTGACACTGAGGTTCATTGCTTCACCTTGCTTTACTGTTTTAATCAGTCCTGACATTTTCTTCAAAATATTCTCAATGGAAAAATCCATAGACTTTTTATAGCTACTCATTACTTTATGTGTTCATTCATTGAAAGATACTTATGGAGTTCTCTTCTTTGTATATTTCAACTATTATAGATAGTGGTCCATTAAACATGGGATTGTGGCTATCTCGTTAAGATTTTTGCTTCCTTTAACTGTATATCAAGAAGGGGGATTGCTGCACCATGTTGCAGTTGTATTTTGTGGTTGTATTTTTCAAAATTTTTGAGGAACATCTGTACTTTTTCCACTATAGCTGTACCAACTTACATTCCCACCAATAATAAATAAGGCTTCCTTTTTGTCCACATCCTCATTGGTAGTTGTTGTATTTTGATTTTTTTGATAACAGACATCCTAAAAGTTATGAAGTGATACTACATTGTGGTTTTCATTTGTAGTTTTCTGTTGACCAGTGATGCTAAGCATTTTCCCCTGTGCTTTGGACATTGGTATATCTTCCTTGGAAAATGTCCATTGAGGCCCTTCACCTATTTTTTTCTAATGGAAAACCAACTTGAAATGGGGGAAATATTCTGCATACCATAATAACAGGCGAACATCCAAAATATTTTAGGAATTTAGACAAGTTAATAGCAATAACTTAAGTGATTTGATTAAAAATGAGCAAAAGATCTACTTTTTCTTTTCTTTTTTAAGGTGTCATACCTTCTGGAAGGAGGCAGCATGGCTCACGAAGACTTCTGTGGACACTTTGGTAAAATGAACCCAGGAGATCTGCAGGTATAGCCAAGAACAAAGCATTGCTGCTAGTTTAGGGGCTTTTGAGCATAGCTTGACCTTGCTCATTCCCAACACAGTCATTGCAGCCCTCTCTGTGATATCTCTGACCTCCACCTTCCTTTGCATCCTTTCATTCGGCCTGGAAGCTGTACAGCTCTCTGGTATTCCTCTCTCATGCTTTGACTCCTCAATCAGTTTTTAACCTTCCACTTAGCCTTTTTCTTAACATTTCTCAAGAGTAATCAGGAGGAAATGTCTCAACTTCCTTTTCTCCCATTGTTTTTTCTCAACTTGGTGAAATTAGAGTTGATCTCTGAGCACCTTCCTTCTGTACCTTTGAAGCTGTTCAGGCAACAGTCACTTATGACTTCCTAATTCTCACATTCAGTGATTGTTCCAGTTCACATTTTTTTCACACCTGTCCTCCCTCCCTCCTGCTCCAATCCAATAGGTTGCTCACATTTAAAAAGGTATTGCCAAAATAAATTATATGTGCCAAGGTTAACCAAAATACTGAAAATATGGAGACAGAACTGTTGATGGAACAAGAAGTGCGTAAAAGTGGGAGAATGTTTTTGAGGAAAGCCAATAGCTATAGTCAGACAGAAAAAAATTACATCTCTAGAAGGTTTAATCAGCCGTATAAAATAGAAGGTACAGAGAAATCTACTTACCTCTAATGAAAGAAGAAACATTTAAATATGTACTGGTATTCTTTCATGTCCTTCAACAGATAATGTTAATTCTTCTCTCAGAGTCTTTTTCACATGTGATTGCTTCTTTTATATGGAAAATCTGCTTGCCCTTCTACTAGTGAGTTATTGCTTTGTCTAGATCTCAGCCTGAAGTTTCAACCCCCAGGTAATCTCCTTTGGAGTGGGAAAGCCTTTGCATGAACTCTTGTAGAACTTTGTCATTCTTCATAATGCCAAGCACAATGGTAATGTCAGTGTATGGGTCAGGGTTTTACTTAGAGGAACAGGTATAATATAAGGCACAGATATTAACACAAGATATACGATGTATAAGGAATTACAAGATTGGCTTACAACAGTCAGCTGCAGAGTCAGGTGAGGGACATCTGCACACCCCAGACTGAGGAGTTCAGTCCCAAGGTCTAAAGCTCACTGCTGTGCTCCATGCAAGTCTTTATTCATCAGCTAATGGGTCTGCGATAGAAGACTGAAGAGTCTGCAATGGAAGGCGAAGGATCCAAGCTGGAGGCCGAAGAGTCTGCGCTACAAGCCAGGTGATGAAGTCCAAGCCAAATGCGAACACTGAAGTTCCTCTGATGAAGTGGAACATTGACTACTTCCTCAGCCCCTTTATATGGTCTCTTTGTGCTGAGTCACTCTGGGGGCGGAACCAACTGTGCTCCAGGGTGGCACCCCCACCAGCCAGAAGTGTGCTGCAGTCATCCAGCCAAGTTGACACAATGTATCAACCACTACAGTCTTATTTTTTACAGTTGATTCTTTAAGGATTATTTGGCCCACAAGTGCTAAGTGGAAGATGACATTGATGACTTGCCTCATTGCCCATTGTCCAACCTCTGAGTTCAGGTGGTGACAGTTCCCCTATGTGGGCATAGCATTCCATTTCCAGTGCTTCTAGTCTTCTGAAGGGCAACTCAGATATGCCAGGGACTTAACATCCCCATGGTCACTCCTGGTCATCATGTAATGGGTATTAGAATCAAAATGCACTAGCTTCCTTTCTCCTACCTGCAATATTTCTACCATGTATCTGCATGGTTCTTGGTGGGATTGAGCCCCAGGTATCTCCTGATGTGGCCTGCTCATTAACATCCCTCTTCAGCTTTCTTCCTTGCTTGTTTCATTCTTTCATACTCCTTCATTTAGGTTTCTGCAGTCCTTGTGTCTTCCCATCTCAGAGCTCAGTGGAAGACTCAGGGATATCACAGAGAGAATTCTTCTATTTGCAAGAATTCCAGTTTTGAGGTTTGGTTTCAAATGACAAAGCATGGGAAGCATTTGGAAAATTGGAAATCATGCCAGCAGTTGATATTGATATTGTTATTTCTCTCAGTGACCAAGGACTCTGACAGCAGCACCTGTGAGATGTCTCACTTAGTGGCAAGTCTTATGTCTTACTTGCAGACCTGTTAGGGGCTGGGTACATTCTCCTTCTTGTTGGTTTGGTGCTTTCAGTGGATGACTGCAGGCCGGGGCATTCTGCATGCTGAGATGCCTTGCTCAGAGGAACCAGCCCATGGCCTACAACTATGGGTTAATTTGAGGAGTTCAGAGAAGATGGTGGAGCCTCAGTACCAGGAACTGAAAAGTGAAGAAATCCCTAAACCCAGTAAAGATGGTGTGACAGTTGCTGTCATTTCTGGAGAAGCTCTTGGAATAAAGGTAGGCTGTACTGTTGTGTGCTAAAAGACAAAGTGTGCAGTGACATAGGCTGGCTCTAACTGTGACAACTCTCACTGGGTTTCTCAGCGTTTTTGTCTCAAGGGATAGACTTGCTTTATAGGTATCTGTCTATGGAGGAACCTAAGGGAAACCAGAATGTTTTTTGCTGTATCTGAATAATACAGTTAGGAACATTATAGGAAAAAATGCTTATATAAATAATTTGGTTGAAAAGCAATTTTCATGGTATTTCTTGATATGTGTACAGATTTACCCTAATTTTTTTCACTTTTAGTACAATTTTATGATTTGAGTTATAATTCTTGGGTCTTGCAAAACCACCACTTTCAAGAAACGAAGATAGCAAGACCAACTCGATTCCATAAAGATTTATTTTTTAAATTTTATTTAATTTAATGTTGAAGGGTAAAATCAGAAGCAAAAACAAGTATCAGAAACAAAGACAGAAACAGGGTAGCATACAATACATATGTTACAGATTTTCAAAACAAGAATAGCTAATGATTTATTTAAATTATTCATTCTGAATTTATTAAGGAAAGAGTACTACTATATTACAGGAAGGTTATTTTTAAAAATTAACTTGATCATTTATCCCATACATGACATGCTTTGTATATTCTTTTCAAAGGAAACAAATACTATTTAGGTTTAGGCTACTCCATTTTTATCAAATAAAATTATTTTAAGCTGAAACTTATGGATAGTTTTGCAGAAGAAGTGGATGTGGCAAACATTGTGTTATTTACACACCAGAACAAACTGCTATGAAAGCCAAGATTCTGTAGACTGGCCAGTTTGAAAGACTGGCAAGATGGGTAGCAAGCTTTCAGGAGGAATTTCCCAGAGTCACATCCTGACATCTGGGTTCTTGTAAGAGTGATTGTAACGGAAGTGCTCCCTGGGGCACAGTAAAGGGAACCAGCATAACTTAAGGGAAGAAGTCAAGCATGAGTACTATCTAGGCAAAGTACCGAAATCGGTGCCTTTAACCTTATCCTGCTGAAGGCTCTGCAGGATCAATATTTCTCAGAGTTGTCCTGATCCTACTCAGGCAAGGGACCCAGGTTTTCATTCTGCCTTACTACTTATTGGTTATCACCAGTGACTTTGGGCTGGGGGCACTGAAATAATTAAAAGTTATCTGTAGGGATCTATTAGGGTCCTGCACACATGGCACCTGGCAATGAGAGCACCAGCATATTAGGACCTACTTCGTCATTCTCCCAGTGGGCAATCAGTACTTATATAACTGTTAATTTTTATGGGCATCCATGAGAACAATGGCTTGGCAGGGGCCTTAACTGGAAACTCAGTGAAATTCATCACAGGGTTAACAGATTGGTTATGATTATTTGTTTAAACTTTCCAGCATTTCTTTATCTTTTATTGACACCACAGTTCTTCATATATACCACACATAGGTATATGTTTTATTTTCTTTGTGTTCTTGGTGCACACAGAAATAATTGAAGAAAAGTACAGAGCGAAGTTTGCTCCTTAATAGGCATATCTGACTATAGTCTACCCCTCCCTGCAGGTGTTACTTACTTTGCAGTTGGAAGTAACCCTTCTCTGTATTTCTGTGACCTATTTCTGTTTCACCAAGTATTGAGCAGTGCCCTTTTCAGCTGTTTGTGAAGGTTTCCCCTGATTCAGTCTTCAGAAGGCAGATAAGATCTTGGGAGGGCTTCTGCATCAAGGCTAAAGGCCATCACTGGGTATAGCATCAGGCAGAGAGGTCTAAGGGAAGCTGGAGTAATGTAGATGGGAAGCCCTTCACTGTCTCACTTGGTGTTTATAGTACTGTAGCACTCTAAGACTGAGCCTTCAGCACCTACTGGGGTGGATAGTGGAAAACAGAAGGTTGCCCTTTCCAGTTCAGCCAAAGCACAGACTTTGGTTGTGTATATTGGAATTTTATGTGAGACTTCATCTAGAAAATGAGTCGATCTGTGCGTAACTAATAAGAGAAACCACAACAGTGATTTAGTAGATAAGTAAAGCCAGGAATACCATGAATCCTGAGAGTTTACAACTAGTTTTCATTTATAGAAACACAAGGTAATTTTAAAGTTGAAGCTGGTTCCAATTATAAGCAGAAGGACATTTTAAAGTTCTTCCAAGCAGCAGACCATGTGGTATTGCAAGGATTAGAGACCAGAGGTAATGTTTTAACTTTGTAAAATAGTCTTGGTAGCTGCTGACCTCTATTATTTCTTTTTGTGGAGTAAAATCTCTAAAGTGAATTATAATATCCTAAGTAAATAATAAGTATTTTGAGAACATTTTAATTATAAGAATGTCTTGAACACTGAATTGTTGATAGCTATTTGCAGTATGCAGTGTTAATGCTTTTCCTTTTTCGCCCATTCTTCATTGTGAAATATACATAACATAAAACCTGCCTTCTTAAAAAAAAGATTCTCTTGGAAACTTGTGTGGCATTGATCTGGATTTCTAGAAGCAGTGTGGCTCAGTGATTACTCGAGTGGACTTTGGTGACAGACTGGGTTAAAACCCTTATCTGTGTGATTCACTGTGTAATATTGAACAGACTGTTTAACTTCTCTGTACCTCAGCTTCTTCATCCATAAAATAGGGTTTCTATAAGAATTAAGTGGTTTCTTATTCATTCACCCCTCAGAATAGAGCCAGACACACGGTAAAAACCACATAGGTGGTAGTTGTTATTGCTTTTGCTGTAATTACTTTGTGTTAAATTAGGCAGTAGCTGGGCTGTGATTTATGTTTGTCATCTGTGGTAAAAGGATTTCGTGAAACTTGAGGAACCTGCTCTGAAGAAAGGACACCAGTGTAGTCATTGTAAAGAGGATTGTGGCCATTTCTTGTAAGGCTGATATGAGAATAGTTCTGTACATCTGAAGCCTTAGTATCTGCCCATCAGGCATTGACTGGTTCTTTTAAGGTCTACATCTCCCAGAAAAACAAATCAGCATATTTTACATCAGGAAGACAACTTCTTGTTTTCTTTGAGACAAGGTCTTTATGTAGCCCAGTCTGGCCGCAAGCTCACGATTCTACTCATTTAGCTTCCCAAGTGCTGAGGGTAAGGGCTTGTGCCACTGGGCCCAATGTGACAAGAAAACCATTATTTATTTATTTATTTGTTTATTTATTTATTTATTATTTTGTAATGTACTTGGTTGGAATAGGGTCTCACTATGCAGCTCAGACTCATGATCTTCCTGCTTTCAGCTTCTCCAGTGCTGGGATTACAGGCCTGTGCCACAACACCCGGACACTATGGCCAGCTCAGCCTGCACTGGCGACGGGGCTCTGTGGCATGTGGTTCCATGGATCACATGGTCTCTGAACTTTCCTAAGCTTGCCTAAGTAGGCATTTTAGTCTGCTGAACTATCTTGCTGGCCCCCAAGAAGACCATTTTAAATTAAATGACAAGATGAGACTCTACTTTCCAAGAGACTGATGAATTTATAGCTAGTATAGGATCAAAAAAGGCTCCCTTCCATGCAAGTAAAATATCTTGAAAATAGAATTAGTAAGTATTGCAGCACTTCTCAGATTTTAGTATTCATATGGATTGATTGCTTGATAACATGCAGATTCTGGTACTGCAGGCCTGCAGCCAGGTCTGAGATTGTGCATTTCTAACAGGCTCCTGGCTGGTGCCAGCACTATGGTTGGAGCCCCTCAACCTGAGACAGATGCATTTACCCATCTTGAGGAAGTTAGATTAGGTTCCTATGGAAAATGTTAAGCAATCCAGTTCTGTCACTTTGGCAAATCTACTTAATCTTTCTGGGCTCCAGTTTCTGCATTCACAGAAAAGGTGAAGAGGTTTTGGGCAAGTTGCTGTAGCTTTTACAAACAACAAAAGTGTCTCTTTGGTATTTCAAAGATAGATGTAGCCCTGTTTCCCAGGTTGTGTGTGTCTAAGCATTTATTTAGCCCTTGGAAAGTCACAGAGAATTTTGAGCAAGATTCTGCCAGGACAGTGCAGTCTAAAGTGAAGGCTTTTGAGGGGGAGAAATGATAAAAATGGGATAGTTTGAATAGTTTCTGTCACTTCTGGAAGGTCACAATCACATGTTTATTTCATGAGAGTATTCAATTCTCCAAACCCCATTCCAACCTTATCAGTGAGCCAATCAGCTTTATTTATTGCCAGTTCTCTTTGGAACACAATTCTTTTCCCAAAGAATGCCTCTACTGGCCTCCTGCTGTCCTAAATTCCATTGTGTCAGAAGCAAACCTTGAGGAGGCCTCAGCCCCGCTGGGGTCAGGGCATGGCAGTCCAGAGCCAGATGGCCAGAGGCCAGCTTCACCACTGACTCACGTTGGGAAATGCACGTAAGCCTACCGCACCTTGCTTTTCTAATTTGTGAAATGGAGATAACCAGAGTGACCTAGCTCAGGAAGCCTTTGGGAAGATTAAATTGATTGATACATATATGTAAATTAGAACAGTGCTTGACTCAGAGTAAGTCCTGTATAAGCAGCTGCTATTTTTATTCTCTTTCCAAAGCTTTGGGCAGTGTTCAGGTAGCCTGTAGACATAATAAGAAGAGTCCTTCTGATAGGCCGATACATGTCTGCTTGTGTATTGAATGATAATAAAAAATTTTAAACCTCAGTTTCCAAGGGAGTTTGCTAAACATCCTATGTAATTTGCGCAGATCTTTTTTAGTGTTCCTGCCTAGTTTGCCACTCAAGGTGAAATTTGACTTCTTAGATTTTAGCTGGCACAGTTGAGAGCAAGCTCCTCCCTGCCTTGTCTCCCTGAGCTTGCTTGTTCTCTTCAGGAGGAACGCAGTTGCCCTCCACACAAGACTGCTCTTTCCTCCCAAACTCAGAAGAACCATTTTGCAACAGGAACTCAAAAAAAAAAAAGTACATCTTGAAAACAGGTAGTATATGCTCACACTTTGGTTCTTAGCTTTTCAAGTATTCCAACAAGTTCATGGGGTTAGTTTGAAAAATGTGACAGATATTC